GGCAGAGGCAGAGGCAGAGGCAGAGGCAGAGGCAGAGGCAGAGGCAGGCAGATCTCCGTAGGCCGGCCTGATCTACAGAGCTAGTTCCAGAATAGCCAAGGCTCTACAGAAAAACCAGGGGGAAAAAAAAAGAAAAGAAAAGAAAAAAAGAGCACTAGCTGCTCTTCAGGGCATCTAACACTTTTACATGGACATGCAGGCAAAACATTAATATACATAAATGAAAGATAAACAAAAACCCAAAACCAAACCAGACCCCTAAGTTGATGTGGTGGAGGCCAAGGCAGGGGGACCAAGAGTTCCAGGAAGCAAGACTCTGTGTGTGTGTGTGTGTGTGTGTGTGTGTGTGTGTGAGAGAGAGAGAGAGAGCGAGAGAGACTGACTATGGGTAGCCCATGCTCTGGGGAAACCATCCATCTTTCCATGAATATTTATTAAGTAGCTACCACATACCAAGCTAGTTTTCACTCTAGGCAGAGACAAAGACATAGGTCTGTTCTCATGAAGTTTACATCCTCGTGAGCATAGAAAATATCAAGGCTATAATGAAAGTGGCCACCAGGGACATAAATCGGGTGAACAGTCAGTGCCTGCGACCCTTAAGAGCCACAGGGCCTCTCTAAGGTCAATGGGTTGACAGGGAGGAGGCAGCCACCTTTGGAAACAGTATCTCAGGTGGACCTTCATTACCCAGTTATTCATCTAAGAATGTTTCGGGCATGGCTTGGTGGCACACACCTTTAATCCCAGCACTTGGGGGGCGGGGAGAAGCAGAAGCAGGTGGATCTCCGTGAGATCAAGGCCAGCCTGGTCTACAGAGTGAGTTCCAGGACAGCTAGGGGCTACACAGAGAAACCCTGTCTTGAGAAACCAAAAAAAAAAAAATGTCTTAAAGTAAACAAGTCCGAAAATAGTGAAGGTCCCTCCTTTATTATGGAGGCTTCCAGAGCCAGAGGAAAGGACAGAGGAGTTTGCCTCAGGGAAGGATCTAGCTGGCCCCTGGCCTCTTCTCTCCATGGCCTGGTATCCCAGGGTTCCTTGGCCCAATAATATCAGTCTGACTCCTCTGCCTCCCAGGGAACCTGGGACCCATACATCTCCCTCCCTCATGTCTCCCCAAAATCTCATCGGGCCAGACCCCAGGGCTGAGCCAGCAGGATGTGTGGTAACATCCAACTCTCAGACAGGCCTCCTGGAGCACCAGCTGGATGGGCGGGGCCTCCCGAGCACCCTTCCTGCTTTGCAGTGCCAGGTCCTTGGGGTCACAGGTTGGGTCCAGTCCTCAGGATTAAAGAGCTAGTAACAACACCAAACAGAGGGTGACCCCCCCCAACCCCAGCAGGTTAGAGAACACATGAGAAAGACATGACACTGGGACCCTTAGGAGGAGGAGAGGAGCCACGTGGCACGGCAGATACCAAGGGCAGGCAGGTAGGCAGCTGGGGACGGGAGAGGGTCATTTCTTCTTGGCACGGTCTGCCGCATCCAGGGCAGCCATGTTTCTTGCAGCCGTGATGAGGTGGATGACACTAATGATGGACTTGAGCAGGGCGATGGGAGCTGTGATCCAGAGGCCCATTCGGAAAAGCCCCACAGAGCCAACTATGGGAGGCAGAGAGAATGAAAGCCCAGGATGAAGGGGAGCGGGACTGAGGCCGCTCTCTCCCCCCAGGCAAGGCAGGGTGGAACCCCACCCCCACCCCGCCCCCTTTCCCTACCTAGTGGTCCCTCGGAGAAATTGAACAGGTACAGGAGGCAGTAGAAGAGTTCATTTCCAGCACACAGGGTGAACAGAGCAGGCTGCGTACAACAGAAGACTGCCTAAGACGAAGGGCCATGCCCCTACCGTAACCTACAGGGACTTCTGCCGCCGACAGGACAGGCCTCTCGGCCCGCTGCACACTGCGCTCTATCGCATTCTTCCTTAGCCTCCGGCCCCCACCGCCAGCTTCACTCTCACTGCTGCTGGGAGGAGGCGCACAGACCTTTCACCAAGTCTCCTTCGGCATGCCTCAGCCCAAGGACCACTCCTGCTGTGACCGACGGCTGTGTGTGTGTGTTCACCCTAAGACTTCCTCTTTTCGGGTCAAGTAGGGGAAGGGGCAGGGCGCGCTCACCCTAGAGGTGTAGTAGATCCGAAGCACAGGGTTCCCAGACAGGTCAATCATCTTGTGGCTCTCACTGCCTCGCACCACAGAACTTGGGGAAGAAAATCACGGGATGTCGTGAGCTCTTTCCGCCACTACGTTCACCCAACCCCCCCCACCGACTGGCACTGCCTCTTGCTCAAAACCATACAGTTGCCTAGGCGGGGCAGAGTCAGCATTAAATACCCACCACAAAGCACCCATGCTTCTTCCACCCCACTTGGAACCCTAAAATGTCCAGCCAGTCCCATGCTTAGAAATTGCTTAAGACACCTGTAAAAATGACAAGCCTATTCAGAGACACAGGGCCCAGCTAAGGAGTTAAGGACAGGGGCATCCTGGCATAGGCCTATAATTTCAGCACCCAGGAGGCTGAGGTAGGAAGACTGCCAAGGATTTGAGGCCTACCTGGGCACACAGTAAATCCTAAGCAAGCCTCGAGCTGTCGTCTCAAGGAGGAAAGAAAGAGGAAGACACCTTCTAGGGAGCCTGCAGCCATCCATCCCAGCCCCCCCCCCCCCCACACACTATCATGTCTTCCACTCGTCAACACCCAACGTCAAAGCAGACCTGTGCAGATGCAGCCAGTGACTGGCCACGTCCAAGCTCATGCTGAGCTGGAAGAGAAGGGTAGCTCGTGGGTACAGCAGGGCCAGGTTGACCAAGAGACACATAGTGGAGCAACGGTCCGTCAGCATGTCGAGCATGGCCCCAAACCGGGTTCCTGAAAAATAATGACTAATAAGTTGAAAGGGGCTGTTTGGTACAGTGGATCCATGACAGGCGCCTACACCTCTCCTATCACTCCAGGCCAGTATGAAAGGAGTTTGAAAGCATCTACCATCTACTGCTCCAAGAAGAAAGCAGGCTGCTGTCAAGAGTGAGGCCAGGAGGACAAGGAGAGGTGTTGGAGGAGTGGGGAAACTCTATCTTCAACTCCCCTACCCCAGGACCAGGCTACAAAGAAAATCAAGCAGACCCAAAGTCTCAGGGGCAGGTCTGCAGAGGTCACTGAAGAACTGGTCAGAGCTTCAGACACTACCTGCTTTCCTCCCCGCAAAGGCCAACCTCTCTGTCGGAATGCCTATTGTCTGTGCCTAGCACATAGTAAACAGCTATTAAGTGGAAATGTCTTATTTACTTACATTTTTTTCAAGCTTATCTATTTTTTTATTTTATGGTATGTCTGTCTACATATATGTATGAGCACCACACGTATGCCACTTCACTTCTACAAGACCAGTAAGTTGTGTTTGTTTTGTTTTGTTTTGTTTTTTTGAGGCAGGGCTTCTCTTTGTGTAGCTCTGGCTGTCCTGGAGCTCAATTTGTAGAACAGGCGTGCCTCCGAGCCCCAAGTGCTGGGATTAAAAGCCTGTGCCACCACACCCGGCTAAACATTCTTAACTTAAATCTCTGAGCCATCTCTCCTGCCCCAGTCGTGTTTTTTATTTTTGCAGGATTTTGCTGTGTAGCTCACCTGTACTCATTAGGCAGCCTAAGAGGACTTCGGGCTTGGAGCAATCTTTTTATCTGCCTCTCCAGTGTTGGAATTACAGGCATGAGCCACCACGCCCGACCTGAATGGACTAAAAGCCACATGGCTTACAACCACCTATAGCTACAGTTCCAAGGGATCCAATGCCCTCTTCGGGCGTCTGTGGTCACCAGGCATACATGTGGCGCACATACATGCATACCCAGAGAGACCTCTTCCATTCCCACAGCTATGTCCAGTCTAGGTCCCCTCACAAGCAGTGACCAAGCCTCAAGAGCAAGCTTATATCCCAAGCTGCTTTGTTTTGTTTTCTTAAAGATGGGAATTGAAGAACCCTCTACCTCTGAGGTTCTGAGAAAGCGGGTAAATGGCATATGGCATCCCTCAGGGGGACGTTGGGCCCCCAAGTGGTAGCAGTGGTCTGGTAGAGTTCTGTCACCTTGATTAAGGGCTCGCGCTGCGTGTCCATCAAAAGCATCTAGAAGTCCGCTGAGTAGATAGAAGGAGGAGGCCGTGAAGGGGCAGCAGGGCATGAAGTAGAAGGAAATGATGGCGAAGACAATCCGGGCATAACCTTGGGATGGGACGGGAGAGGCACAGGGGGTGTGATCGGGAGCCAGCTCGGGGTTCCTCGCCCTCCGCTGGTCTTGGGGCCGCAGGCAGCACTCACCGATAAGGTTAGGCACGAACAGGAAAATATTTTCCTCGGGCATCTTGGCGGCTCCCCTGGTCGGCCCGGCCCAGCTCTGGAGGTGCAAGAGCTTGTCCCAGTCTCACCTTTCAGCCCGGGGCATCGGCCGCTCCACCTGAGCCCTGGGCCCAGTTCCCCCGCGCGACCCCGCAGGGCACCGGGGCGCGGGACACCCCTGGGCGCAGCTCACGCACACCTGGCCTTCCGATGGGTAGGAGCTGCCGTCTCCAGCAGCGAGCCCCGCTGCTCCGGTTACGCCCGGCTTCCCCGAGCCTACTCTTCTGTTGGGGACGTTAACAACATCGGAGAGGGAAGAGAGCGGCTTTTAAATATAAATAAATGAATTAAATAAATATTGGCTGATGCCCCTTTAAGGACGGCCTGCTTCCTTTTCCTGCCAGGGCCCCTTGGCTTTGGCTCGTACCAATGCACCGGGGGGGGGAGTAGGGAGCCGAGGGCCATCCGCAAAGAAAGGAACTGGAATGGGAGAAGCAAGAGCCCCGGAAGAGAATCTGCATTTTGCATTTCACAGGAGTCGTAACCCCCTGGAGGCAGAGATAAGGCGCCGAGAGTCCGCCGTCCCGAGTGTGTACCTCCCCGAGGGACGGGGCGACTTAGTACAGCCCACATCGCTTCCCCGCCCGCTACGTCTGCGGCCGCGGTCGCTCTCCCGGATCCAGGCTGGGGAGAGGTGGCTAGAGAGGCTCGGGGCGCGCCTGCTGCTTGCTTCTGGCGCCGCCCTGCTGGTGGGAGGATTAGAGACCCTACGTCATCTCCCAAACGCCCTGCTGAAATGCTGGGGCCACCACCTCCGAGAAGGCACCGGGAGAGCAACCTTGGCACGCCAGGGAAATGTCTTTAGTTCTAGAACCTCTAGTCTCCTAGCAACGGAACCATAGAACTTCTGCAAGCATTTAGGTCTTTATAGCAACCCATAACAGCGCTTCCCTGGCTCCCCCTCTTTCCATCCTTCTTCCCCATCTCCAACTCCCTGTCCCCCCCCGAGACCCATCACCATAGCTCGCCCTTAAGCCCCTCCGCCTCCCCTCCTGCCGAGTAGCCCAAGATTTCAACCCATCAGTCAGGTCGGGGGCTGCGTGTTGGCTTCCTAGCCTTAGGAAGTGCCTTGGAAGAAAAAAGGGAGAAGGGCTCTGGAGGGAACGGGGGAGGGTGTTGTTCTGAGAACCCCCCCGAAAAAAAAAAAAAAAAAAACTGTAGACAAAACAACAAACTTTTTCAAGGACAGAAGTAGGGCGTTTGAGCTGTAGGCGTGGACTAAAACTCTGGGCCCAGGGAGTGGAGTGAGATGGGGTCTGTGGGGGAAGAAGGCTGGTTTCTCAGTCTAACACAAACTTTCTTTCCAAGGTGATGGCATCCACATCTGCCAGGAGTGGGGAGAAAAAGGACAGCTGGCTATCTCAAGCTGCGGCCTCCTTAGGCGGAGGGCAGGTACACAACAGTGGGAATGTGAAGAAAGGGAAGGGAAGAGCCATGCTCGTCTGCGTCAGAGCCATGAGCCCCGAGGCCCCATAGACTGCTTTCTGGGTCTAGGGCCTCCTAGTCAAATCACGCATCTCAGACTTCGAATCCCAGATTCCCCTGCCACAGAGCCTGCTGCCTGCAAGACGCCAGACTGATGGGAATCTGCAGGCTGAGTTCTAACTTCCTTTCCAGAAAACCTCATTATCCCGATCTGAAGAATTCCTGACCCAGATCAGCTCTGAACTTGCAGATGAAGCACTGTTTATCGCTCACTCCCACATGAATCCTGTGCCCGTCAAGGAAAAGCAGACAAAAGACCAAGGGACTCAGATATCCAGACATGGTGAACTTTCCCTCTTTATCTAGAGACCGGTCCCCAACTCCCTTCTAGCCCACAGCTCACCTCCCCAGGCATCTGCCCATTTTTTTCCCTCCTCGGTGTCAGTCCTCAGCACTGTGGGCCTTACCCTTTAACTCACTCATTGTTGCTAGCCAGGAGCCTCCTTGTACCCATCTGCTGTAGCCACACTAGAAAGTCGCTTCTCTAACTGGGGCCTCTAATTTCAGTGTTCTTCACCAAGACCCGAGGCACAGACACCCGGTGAGTGAGGCTTGGTCCTGGGGAAAGGATGAGAAAGCTATAGGGTTGACAACATCCTAGCAGGGTAGGGGGACCAGAACCACGTATTCTGTTCGTTTTCCCCCTGAGCCACAGTTTGACTCTCGGCCTTCTGTTGTCTTCTGCCATCTTCAGCTCTGACAGAAATCGCACCCGGACCAAGGCACACCTTCTGCCGTCTCCTCGTGAAAAGGTTTGTACGAGGTCGTTCGCTTTCAATATTTCCAGTTTCCAGGGTGTGCTACGCCTTGCGTTAGGCATTTGGGACACAGAATGCATGCTATAGACTCAGCCCTTGAAGAATTGAGGGGTTTGTTTCTGTTTGTTTTGTTTGTTTGTGATTGGCTCTCAGTATGTAGCACGGTTGCCCTAGAACTTGCTATGTAGACCAGGCTAGCCTTGACATCACAAAGATCTACCTGCCTCGGCCTTCCCCGTGCTAGGATTAAAAGCATGCACCACCATGCCCAGCAGAATTCAGTTTAAGAATGAGGCCTAGACAAGTTAATGGCTGATGGCCACATAATATGGAACAGTGCCTACTTAAGAAGAGAAAACAATAAGACTATTTTTAACCCATCCTCAGCTGGGCTGGGAAGGAAAGGCATCATGGAACTTCCTGAGGAAGGAAACACCTGAAGAAAGACTTTTCTAGGAAAACAGCGCTAAGTATTTTAAGCAGTACGGACTGTACGATCCAAGGTTCAGAGAGGTCTCTTAGTAAAGTGAGGTTGTGAGTAGCTTGTATGCTCTAGGGCCTGCCAGGCATGGTAGCGAATCCCTTTAATCTCAGCACTCTGGAGGCGCATGGGGTGATGCCTGCAAGTTCAAGGTCAACTTGGTCGACATAGTGAGTTCCAGGACAGCTAAGGCTACACAGAGAAACCTTGTCTTAAAATAAACAATCAAACAGGAATTTAGAAATCATACATATGTAATAATATACAATATGTGATGGAAATTATATATCTGGGGAGACAAGGGTTTAAAAACTTAAAATCAGACAAAAAAAAAAAAAAAAAAAAAAAAAAGAAGCTGGTGAGGTTATGGCTCAGCAGTTAAGAGCGTTTGTTGATTTTCCAGAGGACCCGGGTTTGATTGCCAGCACCCACATGGTGGCTAACTCTAACTGACACCCTCTTCTGGTCTCCACAGGCACCAGGCATACAAGTGATACACAAACCTACATTCAGGCAAAACACCATCACACAGTCCATCACTCAGGAGGCAGAAGCAAGTGAATCCGTATGAGCTCCAGCCCAGCCTGGGCTACAGAGGGAGATCCAGGTCAGCCATAGCTACTTAGACTCTGTGTCAAAAAATAAAATAAAATAAAATAAATAAAATAAAATAAAATAAAATAAAAGTAAAGTAAAGTAAAGTAAAGTAAAATAAAATAAAAAATAAATAAATTTTTAAAATAAAAAGCAGCAAACATAGGAAGGCATGGTAGGCAGATGGTTCAACGGACGCCTGGATATATTAACTGAACATGTGCTAAGCGCTCGCTGTATGCCAGCACTGTCCTGAAGTGCAGCCCTGATCGAAATAAAGCCCCTGCTCTCAAAAAGTTTATGTGGGAGAGGAGAGGTGAAAGGGTGGGAAGATGGATGAATGGATGAGCGGGCGGATGGAGTTGAAGGAAGATTCGGGGAGGAGCAGGTTACAGAATAAATGGAGCATGGTGGCTATGTTCAAGGGCGGTATATGGCTTGGACGGCTGGGTGAAGGATGGAAGGATAAGACAGGATCCTTAAACGGAAAGAGCCAGCAGCTCTCATTTTCTTCCAGGGAGCACTCCCCACCAGCCTGACAACTGGAGGATGAGCCCAGTCTTCCCTGGCTGCTGCTCTCTCGGCCTCTCGCCCTCCCCTCCCACTTTGCCCCTCAGTGAAAGCCTCAAAGCTCCTCTTTTGCAACTGACTAAAGACCTCATCTTGAGAGGAACTCCTGGTCATAAGCAATGCCACTTTTGAAATCATCGAGATCTTCTGGAGCTGTCATAGGTAGAAACCACCACGGGCAAACACACCACTGAGGAGAAAAGTTTTTTAATAAAAAGCCAGGGATCCGCCCTTCCCCAAAGGTTGGCAGTATTCTAGAGTGGCTTTCGGAGGGGGCACACCTTTCTTCCAGAGGGGGGATGGTGCATGCCAGCATATTCCTGGAATTTGGTTGTCTGCCACCTGCTGGACCCAAACCCATTCTCCAGTAGCTCCTGGCTTCTAATGGGTCACTCTTGCCACTAAGGAGAGCCTTTGCTGTCACCTCAGATTCTGAGGGCCCTGGGCCTTTGCTTGTCCCTCTGAGCTTGTGAGCTCTCATGTTTAAGAGAATGCTGATTTGTAACCAGACAGAAGGTGACATGGACAGCTCTGACGAGTTTCTGTTTCAGGCCCAGTTTGGCTACTTATTTGTTCCTCTGAGGACGTCTATTCACCTCTTTTAATTGAAAACTGTAATCAGTCCTTAATCCTAGCACTCCGGAGGCAGAAGCAGGCGGATCTGTGGGCGATCAAGGCCAGCCTGGTCTATGGAGTGAGTTCCAGGACAGCCAGGGCTACGTGGAGAAACCCTGTTTCAAAAACCCAACCAACCAACCAAACAACCAAACAAACAAACAACCGTGAGTAGTAAATTACCCACAAGTTCTTTACGAGGATTAAACAAACAAACAAACAAAAAAAAAAACAATGTAAAATAGATTGATCCCTCTTAATCCCCAATAATCCCAGCACTCAGTAGGCAGAGGCAAGAAGATTGCTTCCAGTTCAAGGTATCAAGCCAGTGTGAACTTCACAGCAATGTCTGGTCTCAAAAACAGAAGGGGGCAGGGGCAGGGGGCAGTGGTGCACGCCTGTAATCCCAGCACTCAGGGAGGCAGAGGCAGGTGGATCTCTGTGAGTTAAAGGCCAGCCTGGTCTACAGAGTGAGTTTCAGGACAGGCAGAGCTAGATAGTGAAACCCTTTTTCAAGAAAAGGAAAGGAAAGGAAAGGAAAGGAAAGGAAAGGAAAGGAAAGGAAAGGAAAGGAAAGGAAAGGAAAGGAAAGGAGAAAGGAAAGGAGAAAGGAAAGGAGAAAGGAAAGGAGAAAGGAAAGGAGAAAGGAAAGGAAAAAGGAAAGGAAGGGAAAAAGGAAAGGAAGGGAAAAAGGAAAGGAAAGGAAAAAGGAAAGGAAAGGAAAAAGGAAAGGAAAGGAAAAAGGAAAGGAAAGGAAAGGAAAGGAAAGGAAAAAGGAAAGGAAAGGAAAGGAAAGGAAAGGAAAGGAAAGGAAAGGAAAGGAAAGGAAAAAGGAAAGGAAAGGAAAGGAAAAAGGAAAGAAAAGGAAAGGAAAGGAAAGGAAAGGAAAGGAAAGGAAAGGAAAGGAAAGGAAAAAGGAAAGGAAAGGAAGGGAAGGGAAGGGGGAAAAAAAGGGAAAAGGAAAAAGGAAAGGAAAAGGGAAAGGGAAAAAGGAAAAAGGAAAGGAAAGGAAGGAAGGAGAAAGAGAGAGAGAGAAAGAAAGAAAGAAAGAAAGAAAGAAAGAAAGAAAGAAAGAAAGAAAGAAAGAAAGAAACCAGACCATGGGTGGTAGTGGTGACACCTGCCTTTGATCCCATCACTCTGTAGGCAGAGGCAGGTGGATTTCTGTGACTTTGAGGCCACCCTGGTCTACACAGTGACTCTAGAACAGCCTGTCTCAAAAATCCAAAAAAAAAAAAAAAAAAAAAAAAGGCAGACAGCCCAGCCTGAGCTATAGCAAGACCATTTAAATAAAATGAGACAGAAGCAATAAATAAGCCACAAAAGATCAGTAGGAGAAAGAACAACACAGAATGCATAAATATGCAAACATTTTCAAAAAGTGAAAAGAATGGAAGGCTCATTGCTCCCTGTGTCTGTGAAAGGCTGTGGGCAGTGTGGCTCTTCTAGCTACAGGAACCTAGCAAGAACTAGTGAAGAGCTCAGTTGTCCCAGTTGCTCCTCTATAGGGCCTGAACCTTAAGCCAAGCTTGTTTCGAGACAGGGTCACTCTATGCTGTCCTTGCTGGTCTGGAACTGAGCTCAAATTCTGTCAGCCTCTGCCTCCCAAGAGCTGGGATTAATGTAGGCTCCATTGTACCCAGTACAAGCAAGGCTTTGGACTCCAGGCCGGCACCTGGGATACCGCCCAAATCTGGATCTGCATTTTCCTCCAAAGAGCTTCCATTTCCCCAAACCTACTCTCCCAGAGGGCTCCCCACGCCGGCCCCACCACCTTGAGACCCACTTCCCCAGACTCACCAGCTCAGTTACAAGTGGTGACTTTCTGTTTATTGCTCAAAAACAAGAACTCAGAAGCAAATTAAGGTGGAGAGAGTGTGGGCAGGGAGACACGGGGAAGGGATGGGGCTCGGCCTCATCCCTCCCTTCATCCTTCTCACCCTCCAAGGCCCAGCAGCAGTCAGGCGTCTGGGGGTAGGGAGCCTTCATGGCCATGGGGATAGTAGAATTGGGGGACAGTTCTTGAGTGGGGCCCTGGGCTGGAGGGACCCAGGAGTCGCAAGGGGCTGAGTTCCCTTCCGGGGTCCAGAAGTCAGTAGGCTAGGGGGTGGAAGGCCCCTTGTTTGGCAACTAAGAAGAGGCGGCTTTGGGCGGCAGGATGCTGGTTTATTTACGGTAGGGTCTCCAGGGCCATCAGAGCCCCCTCGTGGGACAGGGAGACTATTTACACAGCAGGGGAGAGGGGAGCCCAAGACCAGGTCCTCACTGCCCAGAACGATGAGAGAATGGGGGGTCCTGGGTCCTGCAGACTTAGACTGAGGGCTCAGATGGAAACTTCGTACTCCCGTGTATCCTGAGGACAGAAAGGGCAGATAAACTGGAGTGAGTTGGAGATGAAGAGGCATCCTCAAGGAGGGGGAGGACGTCATTTGAGCTGAGTCTGGTGGTGGTACTGACCTATAATCCCAGCTACTAGGGAGGTGGAGGCAGGAAGAGCCCAACTCAAGACTGGCCTGGGCTACGGAAGTAGTTCAAGACCAGACTGGACCATTGAAACCCTGTCTCAAAATTAAAAAAGGACTGGGGAGCGGGCATGACGATGAACACCTTTAATCCCAACCCTTGGAGGCGGAGGCAGGTGGCTCTGTGAATTTGAGGCCACCCTCATCTACATACACCAGCCAGGGCTATAGAGAGAGCTGTGTCAAAATACAGAAGAGAATGAGACACCGCAGGTGCTGTTCAGTGTCAGGAGCTGACAGCTGACCATGCATAAGTTCAATGTCCAGTACCACGTACTCTCAAGGAGACCATCATATTTTGAGACAAGGTCTCTCTGTGTAGCCCTGGCTGTCCTGGAACTCCTTAGGTAGACCAGGCTGGCCTCAAACTCAGAGAGCTGTATGCCTCTGCCTCTGGAGTGCTGGGATTAAAATTGTGAACCAATCCGTCCAGCAAGATGTTCATATTTAAATTAATACAGAGGAGCTGGAGAGATGGCTCAGCAGCTAAGAGTCCTAGCTGCTCTTCCAGAGGAGCTAGGTTCGATTCCCAGCACTCACAAGATGGCCCACAGCCATCTGTAATGCCTGTCCCAGGGGATCTGATGCCCTCCCTGGCCTCTGAGGGTATTTCATGCACTTGGACCAACAAACAATCAGCGAAACACCCATACATATTTTTTTAAAAAATGAAAAATTTCTACAAAAAGTTTTTAGTAAAGATTCCCAGTCAGGTATGGTGGTGCACACTTTAAACACCAGCACTCAGGAGCCAAATGCAGGCAGATCTCTTGAGATTCCCAGGCTAGCCTGGTCTGGTGAGCTCCAGGACAGACACTGATACATAGTGAGACTTTGTCACAAAAACAAAAAACCAAAACAAAACAAAATAAAAAAAACTTCCTGGGTTGAATATTGCTAATATATATATATATATATTTTGTTTTTTTTTTTTTGTTTTTTTTAATGTACATTGGTGTTTTGTCTGCATGTGTGAGAGGGTCAGGTCACCTGGAACAGAAGTTACAGACAGTTGTGAGCTGCCATGTGGGTGCTGGGATTGAACCCGGGTCCTTTGGAAGAGCAGACAGTGCTCTTAACTGCTGAGCCATCTCTCCAGCCCCCTAATATATATATTTGAATCTTGCCAATTTATCCTATATGTTAAGACAGCAAAGATGAATTTCTGAGATGTCTTGAACAATTAGAAGATCTGGAGATTGGGCCTAAGTACCCACTAAGAATTAGAGCTGTATCCTGCAGACGGGCTCTGGCTCTCCAGTCAGCAGCAGTGGTTATTACCTGCTGTCCACACATAGCTTGCTTTGGCCATCGTCAGGGCTTTCCTACATAAGCAACTGAGTTTGAAATCTCCCCGCCCAAAAGACGAGGCAGGGACTTCTGAAGATCAGGAAGTCCTTGGGGAGGCTGAGGGAGGTGGCGTTGCAAGGGGAGGGGAGAGACTCACGCCAGCTTCATACAGTGGGTTGCTGAAGTCTGACTCCACCGTGATGGGACTGTAGGAGTGGGAACCCGAGAAGCCAAAGAGGGACTTTCCTTGCAGCCTGGGAAAGGGAGGGGACATCGGTCTTATCATGAGTGAGTCCTTGAACTCCCTCGCCAGGCTCCCATGCCAGCTCTGACCCCTGCCCTGGCCAGCGGTGCAGAGCAGGGTACTTACTTAGCGTAGTATATGTAAACGCCACTGCCAAGGACAATGACCAAGCCCAGGGGCAACAGAATGGCCAGAGCAAGGTTCCCACCCTCCAGCTGCCTTGATGGGTCTGTGGTCTGGGTCACTGGAGAGGGAGGAAGAACAGAAAATGAGCCAAGGCTGTACCCACTCCTGGGCTCTCCCAGCCTCCTGCCCTGGGCCCTGAACCCTTGTCCTCACCCCTCCGGGGCCTGACCTCCTGCCCCCAGCCTTGACCTTGCCCCCCCAGCATGGCCAGGCCTGGTCTCCACCTGGACCCTCACTGACCTTCCAGTTTTCGGTTGTCCAGGAGCTCCTCATAGGCCACTGCAGGGAGAGGAGGGGGAGGGGCGGGGTCTGAGCCAGGGAGGGAAGGAGCCTGGGGAGAGGGCCGGAGCCCTGTGGGGCTGGGCTGCACAGCCTGCTTCTCTGCCCTCTGTTCAATCTAAGCGTGTCTTTTCCCCTGTGTGTGGAGGCTGTCGGGAACTGGCGGGCCAGGGCTTGCTCTCCTTCAGACCACTACAGGTTCAAGGTTCCTGGACCGTCTGAGCCAACCAGCTTCAGAATATCTCGCTGATAACAAAACGGAGGCCTTTGCAGAGAGGACAGGGGGCCTCTAAGCCAAGGCCCTCCCTATAGCCCTTGACAGTTCTGGAACCTCAAATCTCCCCAGGTTTTTTCGTGCCTGTCAGGATGAGAGCCCACAGGAGAAGGCACTGGGTAGGGTCAGCCACTGCTCTTGCATTTTTCTACCCAGCTCTTCTAGCCCCGTCGCTCCCCATATATTGCTACGCCCCCTCCTGCCCTGGCACCTTTGCAGAGTGGGGGCTGGCTGGTCCACTGGGACGGGTGGCCGGGCACACAGGTGATGGTGACCTCGCCGATGAGCTCAAAGCCCTCATAGCAGAAGAAGCGTAGCGACTCTCCCGCTTGGTAGTGGTGCTTGTATAGTGTCTGGTAGCCGTTTTCGGGCACGCCAGGGTTCAGGCACGGCTCGTACTTTACTGCAGGAAGCGGGGAGGGCCGCAGGCCCGCTTAGACGCCGAGCAGGCCTGGTCCGGATTCCCAGGTCTTCCCTCCGTGGGCTGCTCCCCAGACTTACAGGCGCATTTGGGGACCCGATCGCTCCACTTGGGTGTACCCGTGTCCCGGCTGTAGCAGGTGAGCACAGCCGCCCCCTCCAGGCTGTACCCTGGCAGACAGCGATACTGGACGTGGGAGCCGACGGGAAAACCGGCGTCGGAGGCGGTCCGGTGGCCATTGGTGATCTCTCCCGGGTCAGCACAGGTCATGACTGGTGATAGGAGGGAAAGGTTAGGGAGGGGAGAGCGAGGGTCTCAGTAGGTCGCCTGGAAGCGGCTCGCGGAGGCCTGAGAGCTCTGTTCTCTCACCAGTTCCTTAGCAGGGCACAGACTGTGAGTCAGACACCTCAGGGTCAGTGGGTTCGCAGAGTGTGATGCTGCAGTGCTTATAGTCCCTCCACTTAGAGACTAGAGGAAGGAATAAGAGCTCCCAGCCAGCCTGGGCTGCATGGCAAGTTCCAGAA